GAATAATAACCCTAGTTGCTAAGTCCCATGATCCTTTACGTAGGGTTTACCAGGGTTTGGGGGGGTGTCTACCTGGCGTGCTCTAGTCATTCCGACCCAGCAGAACCCTCGACCAGGGTCTTCCGAGTATGGTCGACTTGCGATATAGAGGCCTGACGTAACTACACAATACTTTCGAGTTTGGGGCTTGGGGTTCCTTATTGTGGTTGAGACATAAGCCCCCAAAACCTTGGTCTAACTATCAACCCTAAACCCTAAACCCTAAACCCTAAACCCTGGCCCCTATGTTCACCACAAGCCAAGCCATCCGAGGCTGAAGAGTTGCACGACCGCTCCCCGTGAGAGCGAGTTCCAACAGCTAGAAGAAGCTGATTTAGGGTTTAGGAGATAAGGTTTAGGGTTTAGGGTTTAGGATTTAGGGTTTAAGGTTTAGGTTATAGGATTTTGGGTTTAGGGTCTTGCAAAACCTTTTCAAGCCCTGACCCAAACACTCTGTAAGAAGCATACCAAACCAAAGCCAAACCCTAAACCCTAAGCCCCAAACCCCTAAAACCCTAAACTGGCCTGTTTCTGGGAGCGCGAGATCCCCCAAACCCAAATCCCAAAAGAAGAGACACGGACGGCCCTCAAGCCTGGGCCTTGTTCTCACCATGATCCCTGGGGATGCCCTGAGACTTCAAAAACCAACCCACTGGTGCTTGGAGGATCATGGGACTTATAGTGACTATGGTTATAAGTACCTTAATTGCGGTTATAAGTAATTACAAGTATAGTTACCCTACTAATAAGCCTAGTTACTAAGTCCCATGACCCTTCAAGTGTGGAACAAAGGTGCGAAGTAGAAGCCCTGCTCCCAGGGAGGGCTCCGCAGTTGAGAAGAGGCCGCCCTGCCTGAAAGGGTTCTGGGTTCAGGGTTGAGGATTTAGGGTTTAGGGTTCAGGGTGTAGGGTTGAGGGTTTAGGGTTCAGGGTTAGGGTTGAGGGTCTAGGGTTTAGGGCCCAGGGTTCAAGGTTCAGGATTTCGGGGTTAGGGTTCAGGATTTTCAGGTTTTTTGTTTGGTTTAGATTTTCAGGTTTGAGGTTTAGGGTCTTAAGGTTGAGGGTCGGGGTTGGGGTAGCCTCGGCCGTGGCTTCCTCTTGAAGCTGAAGTGATCTGTTGAAAGTTGAGGGTGCATTTAGGGTTAAGGGGCTCTAGTTCATGGTTGGGTTAGGATTAAAAATGTACAGTTCTGTTCCTTATTGGGTTTCAGTACGCATGAAAATGTAAAATGTTACCCAACTGTGACAAAGGCTTAGGGTTGCAGGGTTGAGGTTCGGGGTTTGGTTTGGTGCAGATTTCTAGGCTTATCTCGTCGAGCCCGGAGCAAAGTTTCCAAGGCCTTTCAACGTCAAACGGCGTACCTGTGACCAAGAGTTCCCCTTTAAAAGGAATATGGGTAGTTCTCTAATCGAGGTCCCTTTCAGCGTCTTGTTCAGAAGGGCGCCGTAATACTTTGGGGACCTAAGAAGGGACCCTGTTTCAGAGAAGTACCCATACATGCCATACATAGGGACACCAAAATGCAGAGCCCTACACAAACCTGGACTTTTCTAGCAACAGGTACGAAAGAAGCCGGTTTCAGGCTTGAGACTGTTGTGTCCAATCGTGGGGGAGTGTACCGCATATACTAAACTAAGCGAAATGGCGCAAAATTTAACAAGCAACGCATGAAGGACCTCGAGCCAGCTGCCCTCCGAGCCGTACATCGTAACACCGAGGTGCCATGCGATAGTCTGCAGTACAGTTAACGTTACTATACACTATACATCCCGTAAAACAACCCCCACAACTCAATGAGCCCAAGAATTTCCAGAGTCTCCAAGCCGCCCCAAAAAAAGAAAACAAAGGCCCCCAAACTCCCCCTGCGACAACCCCAAAGCTAGAGCTGTCCAGGCTCGATCCAATGCCCTGGATTGCACCAGGGACACAGGCGCATCGCCACAGCTATCATCCAACAGCGCCTGGGCTCTTCGGGGTAGAAAGGCTACAGTCGGGATTTCAGAATTCCGGGGCTGTGGGGCTTTCTGGCTCTGGAGTTCGACTCTTCAGGACCTTCGGCTTTGCAGGGGATGTCACCTGATGGATGCTACTTCAGGCTTCGCAGCAGTGGAGCTCAGGGTCCAGACTCAAAACCGTCGACGCTTTCAGGGTCCAGACTCGGCTTTCGGAAGTACCCCAAAACCTGCTGGGGCTGCTGGGGCTTTGGGATTGACGGCTTAGGCTTGGGGCCTTCGATCTGGGCTTTGATGTTGCATTGCCCGGGGTTTGAGCACGACGATCACCACCAGCAACAAGAGCGCGAGGTTCAGAATGCAGACAAAAACCTCGAGATGCTGAAACCTGAAACCTGAAACCACGAACCCTAGCCGATCCGCGAAATGCCTCAGCCTCTACCCAGGATCTTGAACCCCTGAGCCTCAAAACGCGCCCACCACCCCTCACCTGGGCCCTGAAAAACCTTGAACCTTCGACTCGAAACCCTAACCCCTGGACCCTAAACCCTAAAACCTAACCCCTAAACACCTAAACCCTAACCCCTAAACACCTAAACCCAAAGCCCTAGCCCCTAAAACTCAAACCCAAAAGCACCCTCCGGGCCGCCGTTGCAGAATCTTGCGAAGCTCCAGAAGCCCGAAGCAGCAGAAGGGACGCGCAGAAGAAGTGGATCATTGCATTTGGCATTTAGGGTTTAGGGTTTTGGGGTTCAGGGTTTTAGGGTTTAGGGTTTGGGGGTTTAGGGTTTAGGGTTTAGGGTTCAGGGTTTAGGGGTTTAGGGTTTAGGGGTTTAGGGGTTTAGGGGTTTAGGGTTTAGGGTTATAGGGTTTGGGGTTTCGGGTCGAGGGTCTAGTGTGCAGGCTTTGCTGTTCGTGATTCGGGGCTTGGTGCTTGGGTATTGGGAGAACCTGGGGTTTACCGTAGCAAGCGTTGGGGCCAGGATCCGAGATCTGAAAAACTGCTGGCTATGAACTTCGAAACAGGTTTGGCAGTGGGATTTCTGCCTCCCCCTGGGCCAAAAGTTCCAAAGGATCATGATGAGTATTCGAGATTTTTACGGCTTAGCATTCAATCTCCAAGTGCGGGGTCTTGGACAAGTTTGCTGAGGGTCCCGGGCTGCAAGGCGGGGATTTGCACATGGGGCTTGTTGGTTTGGGGGCTAAGATCACGGACGAGGCAGGCTACCTGCGTGGTCAGCAAACCCGGGATGTGTTGGCAGTCCTCGGGCTGCATCTCCTACAGCTACACAGACCTCAGCTGCAGATGATACTCTAAGCACCCCGGAATCTTAGGCGCCAAACTACCTCTTTGAGAATTAGGTGGGCCGACTGAAGGCGTCATGTCGGAGAGCCCAGTCAGAGGCTCCCACCCAGTCTTCGTGCCCAGAGAGGGTCAGAACCTTTCGTCGGAACTTCTCTTCAAAGGGGAAGAGGAGGGACCCTTAATGGGGACCCCTACCCTATAATGGGCTATATAATGGGTATATAATAGCTATATTAGGCGATCACCCATGCTCAGTGTGGAGTGTTGTTCTCGTTTCGCGTGCAAACTCCTGAGGGTTTCAGCCTGAAAGAAACCAAAAGTCAGCACTCGATGCTCCAGATGCAGGAAGTGGGCTAACACACGACCTGGTGATTTTTCTGTGTCACCCTCAAGCAGCTTCCGTCCTAAGTTCCCCTTGCCGCAGCTGTCCTAATTGCAGAGAACCCACGAGAAAGAGCACAAACAAACAAAAATAAATAAAAAACGAATCAGCATCCTCAACGAGCAGGGTGTTTCTCACCTCACGAATACGTGACCTGAGAGGAGAGTCTCAAGAGATTGATCCTGCAACGCCTTCAGAGCCTGGTTCTGAAGAAGCCAAATTCCTCTGGGAAAGTACCAACAAGACTGTTCCGGAAAGTCACCAAAAAAAACACGCTCAAGTTGTTCAACTCGGTGGGCAGCCTCTGCCTCCCTAGTTCACGTTCAAAAGCACTCAGAGGCCGAGCGAACCGCAGCCGAAGTAGCTTTCGTGTTTCGGGGTGTTGACAGCTTTGGAGCAAGCCTACTTCGGCTTTACAGCTCCCTGCAGACGCATCTTAAGCTCTAAGCAGCCGTGAGAAGTCGGCAGCAACTATGCCCCACGTCGCAGGCCCAATATCACTAAAACGAGCGAGCCTCCTCAAAAAACAAGTCAAAGCACCCTGCACATTAGGGAAGACTGCAGACGCCGAGGTCGTGCGCTCCATCCGAGATCTGAGGGGCTGGCACATTCGCCATCTTCAGCCTAAGTGAATTTGGTTTGCTCAAGGGGCTGTGTTGTGTCCCGAGGATTCGGATTTTAAGGCTCAGATTCCCAAGACCCAGACCAGAAAGCCTAAAATACAGGGGTTTAATAAAGTACCTATGCTATCTTGGGGGTTCCTTACTACAATTGCCGTATAATGGGCCTATAACCCTGTTCTAAATTATTAAGGCCTTCATGTTAAACCCCGACCCTCTGCCTCAGCCTCAGCATCAAACCCTGCAGGCCAATCCTCGCAGAGCCTGGGGCAAAGGCTCCGAAAACGCGGAGGCTGTCACTGGCGGAGGCCAACAGCACCTGCTAGGCAGCTATGTGGCAGGAGATACAGGGTACTACGGTTAGTTTCGATGCTGCCACGCTAGGTTTAGCCGGAGGCTATGCTGCAGAAGCTGTGAGGGCGGCAAGTATGAGGATAGGGTTCAGAGATCTGGGTCGCTCTTGCGATCCTTCTCACCAGCCATCCAAGAAGACAGCAAGCCCACTCTCAACCTCGCAATCCTGCAAATCGCGATACCCGAAAACCCTAAACCCGAAACCCCCTGAACTTCCGAAACCCTCTTGCGTGCGTCGGGCTCCTCCTAGGCTAGGGAACATTCGGTGGCCTTCTGACCGTCGGGCGAAAAGACTGCGTCGTTTACCACCTGCTGTTCACTTTTTGGGCTGCAAGCTTCTGGAGTCTTGGGACCTACGAGGGTCCACAGTATAGTATAGTTTAAAGAAAATATATAGGAAATTCTGACATAGAGCATGTAGAAGAATATTAAAGTACATCATGGTGTATGTAATTAGCATTGTACCGGCTACTAGCTTCAGGGAGGAAGCTCAATTTGGTAGGTAGGGCTTTGTGCTTTCGAAGCTTCCCGATGCTGTCGGTGCTTTTCGGTCTAGCCACCAGGGCTGCCGTCGCGAAGTCGCAGGTGAAGGCGTGTCTTCGCTTGGATCTGGCACCCCAAAGCAATGTTGACCCTTACGTGCACTTGGAGGATCATGGGACTTAGTTAGTAGCTATGGTTATAAGTCCCTTAATTGTGGTTATAAGTAGTTATAAGTATAGTTACCCCACTAATAACCCTAGTTACTAAGTCCCATGATCCTTCAAGCAAGACCGGGCAACCCTGGGCCTCAAACCCTAAACTTAAAGGATCATGGGACTTAGTAACTAGGGTTATTGTTGGGGTAACTATTTTTTTTGCTAGGGCAGGCGCAAAGTCAGAACGACGTGCCTATAGCTACGAATTCGACGGTGAAACATGTTCGGGCATCCTCGTTCGGAGAGTCCTGTGCAATGGCAAGCAGCCAAGAAGAGAGGGGCTCAAGCTGACCAGCAGCGAGCGGAATTCGCACGAAGACCGGCGCTCCCTTCTGTGCAGTGCGAACGAGGCAGGAAACAGCCTTGAGGAGCTTTAGAAGCCACGAGTTATGACTACGCAACTCTCGTAACGACTTAGAGCTCGGACTCAAAAGGCAACAATCAGGAGAAGGAGGGGGCGCCAAGCAAACACAAAGTCCACCACAGGCATACCCCGCATTCGGCATCTCTTCCAGGTCAGCACGAAGGGACAAAGATGCATCCAAATTCCAGTCAGCAATCCAACCCTGAACCAAATCTCCGTGCCAGTAGACCGGGAGGTCAACAAAAGGGCCACGGAAAACAGGAGGCACCAGGAGAGGAAGAAAAGGACGCATCGTTCCGTGGTGCTGCAGCTTGCCCCCCACGTGGGAACACAGATGCTCCGGGTAGAAAACAAGAAGCACATCAGCTATTGCATCAGCCAGAAGACCCGGAGGAACCTCCTCTGACCACGTACGGAGCGTACGGTGGAGGACGGGCCAAGGCTCAACAAAAGTAGTGACCAGGTCCAAAATATCCTGGTCAGTAGCAACCGTAACGGCACGAAGGGCCAATAAGAGGTCATGACTGATCTCAGCCGGCCTCGGGCCCCGAACCTGAGTACCCAACCTGACAGCAGGTGCTTGTACATGACCATCTTTCCCAGCAAACTCCCCTATCGAAGGAGCTCCGTGCTCCAAGAGGTAGTGACAGCATCGAGGGGAGGAAATGAAATGGATACGAAGCTTAGCAGTGGAGGCATATAGAGTGCCACACGCAGCACACTGTCGGCCCTGGGCAAGCCTCGTCGCCACATTACGATATCCATGAACACGCTGCGCGTGAGTGCCCCATTGTCGGAAGGTCGGGAACGCGACCCCACAAACAAGGCACCCATGCTCCATTCCCTCGAGAGGAGAGACAGACTCAGATTGCTGGGAAGGCCAAACACTCCGACAGAGTCGAAGGTAGCACGCAAGCACGAGCATTCCAGGTCAAAAGCCTCGGCACGTTTAAGGATGCCCTTCCACCTACCTGGCTGTTGGGACATAATCACAACCCAAGAGTCCCAGTCAGTGTCGATGGGCCCTAGGCCAGTAGTCGCCGCAACACGGGAAAGAAACCAAGCGCCCGACTCTCTCAAAGCAGCTTGGAACGGAAGATTCCACGCAAGCAAGGCCCAGACAGGGTCAGGGGCACTGCGAACTAACTGACCTAACAAGCGGAGCCTCTCAATGTGCAACAAAGCAGCAGGCGACGGGAGCCCAACACGGGAGATGAGCTGACTCTCCGTGACATGCCAGTCACCCGTTGCACGCAACCCTAACATCTGGCGGTATAAACCCAGGACACCCCCGGAGAACGATCGCCAATCTTGCTTACCCAACAAAGGCCAGCTACCCGCACCGACCAACAAGACAGAAAGGACGTGGCTACGCATGAGCTGCGCCCGGCGAGGCATAGGAACCTGCCTGCACGCAAAAAGCTTTCGGCGGCCTTCTCGGAACGCAGCGTTGGCAAGGGCCAAGCGCTGACGCACCTCTGGCCCAACACGCCCATCGTAGGAGACAAGTGCACCAAGGTGGCGGTATCTCGGAACCAAATCCAACCAAAGGAGGTTCTTGGTGTTCGGATCCGCCCCTTTAAGGAGACAAACATCTCATGTCTCGCAGCTCTGGATCCATCGCCAAGCGGGGCCACAACAGCAGCTGTCTTGGTAGGGCCCAGGTTTGGCCTCAAACCATGTGGAGCCAAAATATCCATAGTATCAGCCGTAACAGCCGACACCGTCCCCCGCAACTTAGACGCTTGACGGCAGACAACAGGCGTGCAGAGGTCGTCAGCGTAAACGAAGTCGCTGATCCGCACATCTCGCGCCCCATCCCCGTCAGCACCGCGAAAGGGGTTGCGATCACCCCTCCAAGGAACAACCGGCACACAGTCTCGCAAAATGCCCGAGTCCCGACGCGCCAACACTTTGGCGAACAGCACGTTGAAGAGAATCTCAGCCAGCGTGCCACCGGGGCGCGTGCCACGCCCGGTGGCAACTAGGCCGTTATCTTCTGCCATAACGAACCACGTTTGACGGTGCAGTTCGCGCGTGAGGGACACCAACAGTTCAGATGCTTCTTGACTCTGCAGCACTGGTTCGAAGGAAACGTAATGACGCAAAGCTTGCAAGTCAGTGTCCTCCAGGCCCAGTGAACCAGCAAGTTCCGAAATCGGTCGATCGGAAAGCGAGCCACCCACAATGGTTTCACGCACAACGGCGTAATAAGCCGACGCAAGGTCGACAAAAATCAAACCAGCAGACAGCTTCTGCCTCCGAGCATACTCCAACAGAGAGCGGGAGCATATGTGGCCGAAGAGCGCGCTGCAGCCAGCTTTACCTCCAAGCTGGAGTGGCAAGGAATGGCTCGCCCAATGCTCGGTAACAAGACCGCGTAATGAGCGATGGAAAACCTTAGAGAAGCAGCTCTGCGCCAGTATGCCCCTGTGAGCGTCACACGTGTTGCGCGCTCCAGGCTTCCCTTTGCTGATATGATACATAATGCCACCTTTCATACCAGCAGCCTCGGCAGACTGGCATATAGTTTTGATCATCAATGGCCAGAAAAGGTCCGTAAGCTGAACACTGAAATACCTACACAACCCTGGCGGTAGGAGATCCGGTCCAGCCGGTCCAGCCGCTTTCCTTGGCGCCGCATGTCTAAAGGCAGCCTCGAGTGACAGCCAAGAAGGCATCTCAGAGACATCCAAGATGTCCGGCAGCTCCGCCTCAGCCTGGGCGGCCCTACACTTGGCAACGAGGACAGAAGGCGAGGTAAGGACCCCCCCCCTTCTAAGGCACTGAAGTGATCACGCCATGCCTCAGTAACCTCACGTGAAGTGCCGCAAACCGTGCCATCAGACCGCTCCAGAGCCGGAAGAGGATCAATAGAGGACTTGCGATACTTCTTGGGCTTCAAAACGCGCTGCACTGCCAGGTGCAACTCTCGACAAAGCACCGTAGCAAGCTCATCTGCTAGCTGCTCAAAGTAAGCAGCCTTGTCCGCCCGACAGCCCGCCCGCAACTGCAGCCCAAAACGGTGAAGCAGAAGACAACTGCCAGCAAAGCGAACACGCAGCTGCCATAGCCAGCGCCCACAAAACAGATCCGTAAAGGAATCAACCGCACTGCGCCAAGCAAGCCATACACAGCGCAGATACGTCATCCTGAGGGCTAAACGCCGCGAGCGGACATGATGACGCAGATTAGCCACCGCTCGGTGCATGGCCATGGTCCGATCCGAGAAATAAGAGGCGCGCATGCGCTTCTTCTCCAAAGGGAACAGCGCCAGGAGTCCTTTATACAGGTGATCCACCACCACCGCAGCATGCTCGCTAACGTCGCGATCCCACGTAGGCCGAGGCGCGCTTCGGATGACCCGGACCACCGCATCGCGATTGTCTGGATGCCCAATGGCTTTAGCGTCCAATCGCGGGGCACGGCGGAGACCTTTGGCATGCCCAGCGAAGATAAGGCGAACAGAGACAATCGCCGCAAGATGGTCCACGCATCGATGCCCTGCCGACAAGGACGCGTCAACCCACGCCGCACAGCTCCCAGATCGCCAACTATCTGGAATACCGACATAGTCCGAGCGGTCCAACACACCATTTCGCTTTTGTAGCAGCGTACCTCCATCCCCAACCATGCAGCTACTGAATGTGGCCGGGATCCATACATCCAGCTGCAGACAGAGATCATGGAGGAATCCACCCGAGAAATATTCTGTATCGGCCTGGTGTGGCCCAATCGCCCGAGTTTCCCTACTTCCAACTCGACAGTTCGCGTCCAGGAGGAAGATCCAGGGTGCTCCCCGAGCATGAGACAGGCATGCCTGAGCCGCCTGCTTCCACCAAGATTCCTTGGCCTCGGCGGTATGAGAACGATGTGGAGCATGACCAACCATTACATTCATCGAACTGTGCCCCACGTCCAAACTGACAATCAAGAGAGTAGGCAGCGAGTGCAGCACGGTGACCGAAGCGGGCCTGCATGGCCCATGCTCACTCACCCACAGTTCCAGACCAAAACAGCCTCTCTCATCTGCACCAGAAGCAAAGCGAACATATCCACCACAAATCATACGCCCCGACGGGGTGCGACACTCCTGCAGACCAGCAAGATGAACTCCCGCATCAAAGAGAGAGCGAGCAAGCAATGCTGGTCTCCCAATCGCTCCATGGAGCCCCTGTTGGGCCGCACTCCTCCCATCGAGCAAAGAGAGAACATTGAAAGTGGCGATCGTAAGTGCCATATCAGAACCTGCTGCCTGATCATGCGAATCAGACATAGGAAAGGCGCGTAAAAAGGGGGCCATCGCCTCATCCGGCGTGAGCAAACATTGACCAGGGTCCCGGGACCAAGACATGAGCCGTTCCTGCACACTGGGCAGCTCGGACGGTCGACGCCGCACCATGCAGAAGTGGGGGAGCCACTGAGCCAGAAGAGCTCCATCCGCAAACAGTGCTTCCCAATCACAGCCAAAAACAGACGTCCCTCCATCGCGGGCCGAAGTAGAGGCCAAAGCATCAGAAAGCTCGCTGGGCACATCTCCAGAATGTCCAAAAACATGCGCGTAAGCAAGGTTCTCCTGCAAGACAACCTGGGCAGAGGCATGCAGGCAACGGGCAGCCACACAGAGACGCGACGCCCGCATCTGACAGACACCCTGCACCCCGTGCAGGGCAGAGGAATTATCTGAGCGGAAGAGGACATCTCCACAAAAGGGGAGCTGAAGGATTGCCAGGGCACCTACCAACAGACCAGCAACTTCAGCATCGTAAGCATCCGGTCCAACATCAGCAGTACCAAGATGCGATGTGAAGGGATGAAGGGAACCACCAACACACCCCAAAAACTGACCAGGCAGACCACATCCGTCCAAAGCACTGAACGTGATGGCCCAACCAGTGGCCCCATCACAGGGAGAGTACGACCCATCGGAAGTGACAACAAGCGTCTCACCAGGAGACGGGGTACGTCCTACGCAACCTTGCCTAACCCAGAAGTCGAATCGCTCCGGGCGCGGAAGAAGACCTGGCGCAGGCCGAAGCGCAGCAAAGGGAACACGTCGAAAAATAGACGCCAAAGCTTCCTCGGTGCCAGGCAGCAAGCATTGCCGTGAGTCAAGGTCGAAGACCTCCACAGACCCAGGTAAAGCCATGGACGTCAAATCAGTCGTAGGTCCAAATGTATCTGCACAGGGAAGGAGATGTTCCAGGCGCAGAGTGGCCGAAGGGGCCACTGCAGGCCAAGGGTGTTCATGTTCGACGTCAAGGGAAGGAGACTCCGCCACACGGGATGAGAGATGCTCCTGAAGGACCTCCAACAGGGTACAAGCAAGGAACAACTATACTTATAATTAGTTATTATTGGGGTAACTATACTTATAATTACTTATCACCCCGATTAAGGGACTTATAACCATACTTACTAAGTCCCACGATCCTCCAAGTCAACTTAAAGCTGAGCTGCCAAGCCGAGCCCATATCCCCAAATCCCGAGACCCTGAGCCGGAACCCCCGGTCTCCAAACTGCAGCTCCAAACATCTAGCCAAAGCGGTCTAGGGTTTAGGGTTTAGGGTTTAGGGTTTAGGGTAAAGCATGAACCCTGAAATAGGGTTGGGGGCAGGGTTTATGTTGAAACGGGTTAAACCAAAGACTGCACCATCACCGGTTGCAGTCATGTCAAGGCGCTAAGCCTTGACGTTTGGGCGGCACGACTTTGCAAAGCCCTGACCCAAGGAGCCAAATCCCAATAGCAATATCAATAGTACTACTAATAGTACTATAGTTATAGTAGTCGTAATAGTAATAGCAATAGTAATAGTGACAGCAAAACTTTGAAGCCCAGGCCTTAACACCCTCTGACCTGGGCCTAAACCCCTGAAGTGGAGAAGCCTGTCTGTCCGAAAGCCAGGGAACCTTGGCGCAAAATTTCAACCAGATTCCGAATCCCCAAGCCTGCTTTCGATCGGTTGAAAGGCTCTGCCACCCACAACCTTACGCCCACACCCCTAAAACTTTGCATCCTAAACCCTAAAACACCAAACCCTGAAAACTGCAACACCCAAAGCTCTCAAACCCCCCCTAAAAATCCTAAAACACCCAAGGTCCTCGAGCCTTTCCGTCGCCAGGAATCACCAGTGTGCAAGTTCCACTGGCCTTGGGGTACAGCTTTCTGAGACTGGGAGGGGTTCTATGGGTCCTTCTCTACATTAGGTCCTTCTTACAAGGGTGCCGTACTCTTGAGCGGACCTAAAGCAAGACCTATCGGGCTTCATTGGGTTTAATCGGTTCTGCTACAGAAAACCTTTGGGAGGACGAGACGAACCAGAAAAGAGGTGGCATGGGTCAACTTCGCGGTTCGAACCCCTACTTGGAGGATCATGGTACTTAGTAAGTATGGTCATAAGTAGAGGTATAAGTACCCTAAATGGAGTTACCCCAATTATAACCCTACTTATAAACCTACTTACTAAGTCCCCTGCCCCTCCAAGTAACCCCAAACCCCAAAACCCTGCACCAGACCCAAACCCCGAAACCATAAACCCGGACCCCAAAACCCTGCCCCTAAGTCCAAAACCCAGAACCCAAACCTAGAAATCGGAAACCATGCACCCCAAAACCCTGAACCCCAAAACCCTAAACCCCAGAAATCCGAAACCCCAAACCCAAACCCCTGAACCCAAAGCCCCCAAAACCCTAAAACCCACGCCCCCAGGAGGCGCCCGGCCACTTCCCACAGACGCGCCGTGCCATCGAAGGCCGACGCAGTCAAAATCCGGTCGCCATCCTCGCAGCACGGAAAGAGGGTTTAGGACTTCGGGCTTAAGGGGTTTAGGGCTTGGGGGGTTTAGGGTTTCGGGGGTTTAGGGTTTCGGGGTTTAGGGCTTAAGGGATTTAGGGCTTCGGGGGTTTAGGGCTTAAGGGGTTTAGGTGTTTAGGGTTTAGGGCTTAAGGGGTTTAGGCGTTTAGGGGGTTTAGGGCTTAAGGGGGTTTCGGGGTTTAAGGTTTAGGGCTTAAGGGGTTTAGGCGTTTAAGGTTTAGGGCTTAAGGGGTTTAGGCGTTTAAGGTTTAGGGCTTAAGGGGTTTAGACGTTTAGGGTTTAGGGCTTAAGGGGTTTCGGGGTTTAAGGTTTAGGGCTTAAGGGGGTTAGGCGTTTAAGGTTTAGGGCTTAAGGGGTTTAGGCGTTTAAGGTTTAGGGCTTAAGGGTTTTAGACGTTTAAGGTTTAAGGTTTAGGGCTCAAGGGGTTAGGGTTTCAGGTTTAGGGATTAAGGGGTTTAGGGCTAAGGGCTTAAGGCGTTTGGGGTTTGGGGCTTCAGGGGTTTGGGGTTTAAGGCCTCAGGCGTTTCGGGTTTGGGGCTTCAGGGGTTTAGGGTTTAGGGTCTAAGGCGTTCAGGGCTTAGGGTTTGGGGTTTGACACTCTCAGGGTTTAGGGTTTAAGGGGTTTAAGGTTTAGAGCTAAAGAGGTTTAGGGCTCAAGGCTTCAAGGTTTTAGGGTTTAGGGCTGAAGGGCTTTAGGGATTTACGAGGGTTTAGGGTCGAAGGCTCGGGGCCTACGTAAGTAATCTAGGAACCTTTCTCATGGGAACAGGGCTCCAGGGGTACATCACAGACCGCCCTGCTGCGGCTTCTGTCAAGACCGCGATCCTAAACGCTGCAGTACTTTGTTCCGTCTGGCGATGGGATATACCCTTTCGCTGACTTGGAGTCTAGCTTCAATGTTGTCCAGTGATTTACAAAGGTAGAACGAATTTTGTTGCTGCCTTGCGGTACCCAAGAACAGATAATCTACTTGGAGGGGCAGGGGACTTAGTAAGTAAGTTTATAAGTAGGGCGATAACTGGGGTAACTCCATTTAGGGTACTTATACCTCTACTTATAACCTACTTACTAAGTCCCCTGCCCCCCCCCCCCCCCCCCCCAAGTAGACCCCTCTCTTTTGCCAGCACGGGCTTCCCCGCAATTCTCAAGCCTGACGAGTCCTGGACACCCAACAAGCCCTGCCTTCCTAGCCCCAGCAGTTGAAACTCACAACCAAACGCTCAAACAGAACATTGCCCGGGTCTAAGGTTCTGGCGATTTGTTGGCGTTCGTTTTACGTTTCGGTTATGGGATTACTTGGAGGGGCAGGGGACTTAGTAAGAAGGTTATAAGTAGAGTTATAAGTACCCTAAATGGAGTTACCCCAATAATAACCCTACTTATCACCTGCTTACAAAGTCCCCTGCCCCTCAAGTAGGGTTTAGGGCTTAGAGCTGTGGAACTGAAGCTTAGGGCTTTGAGATTTGAGGGCTTAGGGCTTGTAGGTCTCGAGATTTCGAGCATCCCCCTTCTTGGAGGTTCATGGGTACGGCTGATGGACAAAATCCTGCATTACCCACTATAAGGAATATACCATAGTTCCCGTAGTTTAGAGTCCTTAGGGTCATGCAGGATTTTGTCCATCAACAGTACTTCTTACTTTACTTCTTACTTTCACGATCTTCGGAAAAAGCCTTTCGGGTCTGTGTAGAGGGCTGTTCTGTAAGCGTGGCCGCCATGGTTTTGTGCTTGCCGCGGCATGCTCCGGGACAAAGGAAGTAAGTTTGTTTCTTCAGCAGTAGCTATAAAGGGGGATATAAGTCCCGTAATGTGGGTTATAAGTCCCCAAACCCGAAACCCTCCAATCCTAGACCCTAAACCCTATAGCCTATAACCCTATAGAGCCCTTAAAGGATCCTTAAACTTATAACTACCCATGAACCTCCGAGTTCCCCTGCAGCAAATTCTCAGGGCTGGGCTGGCGAGAACTTCACGGAGCTAATGGCTTTGCTATGTCCTGAGCCACTTTGGGCTTAGGGATTAGGGCTTTTGGTTTCAGGTTTAGGGTTTAGGATTTAAGGTTTAGGGTTTCCGGTTTCAGGGTTAGGGTTTAGGGTTTAGGAAGCGCTTTTGTTAAATTGTATCGGCACTTTATCCTGCCAGGGTTTCGGGGTTGAGGGCCACTTAGGGCCCACAGGGGTACTTGGAGGATCATGGGACTTAGTAAGTATGGCTATAAGTCCCTTAATGGGGGGTTATAAGTAACTATAAGTATAGTTACCCCAATAATAACCCTAGTTACTAAGCCCTATGATCCTTCAAGTAGGGCTCCTTGAGCACTTTGGGCTTCTTTGAGGCAAAAGCGCGAAGAAGCTCCGGGCTGCTTGGGTGCGGAGGTATGGTCCCGATTTGGGGCTTTAGGGTTTGGGGCTTTAGGGTTTAGGGCTTGGGGTTTAGGGTTTAGGGATTAAGGCGTTTAGGGTTTAGGGTCTAGGGAGTCTAGGGTTTAGGGTTTGAGGTTTGGTTAAACTCCAAGGTTCCACCTTCTCTGTTTCAATAAGTCTTAGAAGCCACGTTACGCCTGTCCCCACGGTGAGAGTCACTCAAGCCTGACCGGAGGCCCGGCTCGTGAAGCCTGAAAGCTGCAAGCCTGACACCAGAACCCTGCCTCCGCCTAGCTCCTCCCTCACAAGCCCTGAACCCTCAAACAACACGATCACATCCCTGAACCTTAAATCCGAGAGTGAAACGTTGCAAAGACGAGCGGTGGGAAAAAACCGTGTCCCATGAGGCACGTGGAATAAAAACCCACCGAGAGAAGAAGGCCCCGGCAGCAATCACATCCCTGAAACCTAAACCCTAAGCCCGAGCCCGACCCCAAAAAATCTTCACCCTCCGAAAAGAAAAGTTAGCGGCCTCGGTAGACCTGCAGAGGCTTTCCCGAAGGGACGGCCTCACCATTCCGGACGGGTCTGAAGCATGCTTGGAGGGTCATGGGACTTAGCAACTTTGAGTATAGCTACCTCAAAGAATAACCTTAGTTACTAAGTCCCATGATGATTTAAGTGTTTATTTTTCAGCAGGTTGAAGGCGTTAAGGGCTGAGGGTTGTCGTGGGGTAGGCCGCTGGGTTGGCAGATGGATGGTCGGATGGATGCCAAGGTTGTATCTGCTCTTTGGCACACCCACAACAAAGGGTTTAGGGTATAGGGTTTAGGGTTTAGGATAGTTAGACTTGACGATTGATTTTGCAAGTGTTGTTCAGTTGGACAGGCGTTACCGGAGAAACTCAAAGACTTAAAGCTGACTGACTCAGACCCGAAGCAGGCAGGCCCTGGAAACCTCCGAGGAGGCTGT